TTTTTTTAAATTTTATAAAATGATAATTAATTTTTAATATAGATGGTGTTGCCACTTATATTTTGACTCATTTAAAAGAATTTATAAACAACTTATTTGTAACTTATCTTATTTTATAAGTGTTGATGAATATGTTTGAGAAAACTTGTAAAATATCTTATTATGAGTAACCTATAAAATAATTGATTTATTATACTTTATTATTAAATTTATTTTTTATAAATTAAAATTAGGTGAATGGTGTCTAGAACTTTTTTATTTTTAATATTATTGTGATATATAAAGTCACTTAAAAAAATTATCTAGTTACTTTTTAAAATTTTATTTTATTTTCAGTCAAGATTTAATTTTTAATTTTTAAAATGAGACAATATCTTATAAGTTCTTGAATAATAATATATTTAAATAGTTTAAATGTATAGGTGTTTTTCAACCTATATATTCAAATGTAACAATTTATTGAATTTTACACGGTCCTTTTATGATTCCTTTAAAATTATATAAGTGTTTGTCAACCTGTATATTGATCCAAATTCAATAATTTATTGAGTTTTAATCAGGCCTTTCATGGTTTCTGCAAGTCCTAAAGGTATCCCAATTTATTTACTACTAAATCTAAATCAAATATCAAAATTTATTTATCTTAAGTTATACTCTATAGTTACATATCCTCTTTATTATATGTAATTTTTTACGATTTAGGGTTTAATTTTAGAAAATAACTAAAGATTGGAGAAATACATTATTTATGTGTCATTCTTTTGTTTAATGTGAGACTTTAATTTTGAGAAATAATTAAAAAAATATTAAGATAAAAAATATTACTCAATTTATAAAAAATATTTTATAAAAATAGTGCAATAACATATTAACTTAATATATATTCTATAGCAATATTTTAATAAATATAAACAAATAAATATTATTAAAGACTAATTGTTCTATAACAACTCTCAACTAATTGTTCTATAAACTTATCTCTTCTTTTGATCCCAAATTTTATGAATAGATTGAAGTGAACCGTGTTTATATTAATCAATAATTAAATCAACATGAATCACACAAATTAACCATGAATTTTAAAAGAAAAGGTCGAAAATTAGTTTAATTTATTCTGTACATGCCTAGAAATTATTAACACAAACTATACCTTTTAAATTTGATGTAAATTTCTAGAAAGCATAGTTGACTGTAGAGAAAACCACTCCAACTTCTACAATCAAATTAATTAATTAGTGGAGGCAATAATTTAATGCATTTATTCACATCATTGGTACCGCTTTCTAAAGGCTTCCTACATAAATGTATATATATTTGAAGTACTTGCTTTAGAGAGAAAAGCTTGAGAATGCAGCTGGCTATTTTAGGAAAGTGGTGGAATTTGGGCTGAGGCCCGTTTTCAATAGGTTGGTTAAGGTTGGGAAGATTGATGATGCCAAGTCTTTCTTTGACCTTATATATGGTGAAGAAACTTAATTAAGATGGATGTTGCTACCTATCATTCATGATGAAGGTGCTGACAATCAACTTTAACTATTTTTTAAAACAAGGTTCAAACATTGTTTTAAGAACACAATTAACTTGGTCTATTTTTATTTATTTTTTAAATTAGAATGGCAATAACAAATTCGAATACAATTCTACAACAAACTGACTCTAGTGATTTCAGTTTAATCTATTTGATTATTAAAACTCCTTTTTAACACGTATGCTCATATTTTTCAAAATATATTCTATGTAATTAGTTTATAATTAAAAAATTAATTTGTGCATAATTATAATATATGAAAATAAGCATTGGAGTGTTACATGTAACGATGTGTATATATGCTTTGCTAAAGAAATTCCCAAGAAAAAAGACAAAAGAAAAAGGCAAAATAAAATTCTCTCTGTCTCTCTATCTCTCTACGTTCATGTTCAAAGCAAAAAACATCCTTGACTTGTCGATTTCAGTCATTTCTTATAAATATTGCAAAGAATTGATACTTGTTAAAAGAATAGTGGTTACATCCGTTAGAAATATTCATACATGTTGGTAGTTAGTTATCACCTTATATATATTAAATCGTATCTTATTCTAATCTGAAAAAAAAAAAAAATACTGTTATGCTCTACATTTTTGCAACTTTTTTTATTTTCGAACTATCTATCATTAATATATATATATAT